CTCAAGTTAAACTGTTTCAATCGAAATCTTCTACTATAGTTCAATTGTTTCAATAGATAAACCTTCTACTCAAGTCCAATATTGCAATCCTACCACTCAATTTCAAAGGTTTCAATTGGAAACCTTCCACTCAAGTCCAAGTAATTTGATTGAAATCCTACCACTCAAATCCAAAGGGTTCAATCGAGAACCGTCCATTCAATTCATAAGGTTTCAATCACGAACTTCCACTATAGTCGAAAGGTTTCAATCGAAAACTTCCACTAAAGTCCAGAAGTTTAAATCGAAAACATTTTACTCAAATCAAACGGTTTTAATCGAAAACCTTCCACTCAATTCGAAGGGTGTCAATCGAAAACCTCCCACTCAAGTTCAAGGTGTTTATTCAAAAACTCTCCACTAAACTTCATGTGTTTTGATTGCAATCCTATACCACTCAAGTCCAAGGGTTTCAATAGAGACCTTCCACCAATGTACAAGTATTTGTGAGAAAGCCTCGTTAAAATGAGTTACAGAAACAACAATATATAACTCCACAAATTTCATTTTTCAGCAAAATATTTAATTTGTTAAAAATTGTCTTTCCATGGATTGTAGAAATTTATAACAGCGGAGCATGGTTGAATCCATTTTTTTTCATTAATAAACGTCCCGACCGTATTTTGTAGACTGGTAAACTTGTACACTAAGTAGAAATCTACTCATTGAATGAATAAACAAACCTCAAAATAGATGCACAATTGTTTATATAATACACTTATCGACAAATGTTATTATTGATTAATCTCATAATTCATTTTTTCTGTAATATTTGTGAAATATATTATAAATTATTGTGCACACAAATATGCAACATACAAATCATAACAATCAAAATTATAATTGTGCTAGCTGTTGACGTAATGTAATCATTAGAGATAAAAAATATATAAGATTTCACTAGAAAATAATTAAATATTCTATAATGGAATAATATAATTTATTTTAATAAATCCCGCCCGCATTGGGAATATGCTGTGGTGTGTGTGTGTATGCGTGTGCAATGTCATGTTACCAGGTGGTATTGAGCATTTCAATGATTCACGCTTGTGATTTACTGCCTCAGACATAGACTGGCTGCAACGAAGTTAGAATGATAGTTCCCCAATGCTTTCGCAGATACACATACACATACGGGCGTAGGCATTTTTCATGCACAAACGCGCATCTACCCCAAAGTGTCATGAAACATGAAACACAAATATTATTTGGCAGATCAGCCACATTGGTATCACCATCCCTGTACCATAATATGCACACCAGGTTTTGTTCAAATATATGATTTAATACAGCGTTGCAGTTAAGTCAGGTCGCATGCAGTATATACCTGCTCCCAGATACTATCAGTGACCTCCACCAACTTATATGTCCGTGTAGATTTAATCAAGCCGTGAGCCAGGCACGTGTCCCTAAAAAGGCGACACCTGTACATGTATTACAATTATTCAAGTGTGTGTTCATCCATGCAGGTTTCATTTGTTCAACAATGAATGCAATAAAGGTTTTCTACATCTGTCTACTCAGAAATTCATTCATCAATCGAGGTATGGTATTCACATAATATAGAGCCACAAACCATAAATGTTATATCAGATACAATAAAACACGTCACAATATATCTTACTACCGTGTTTGTTTCAAAACATATAAACTGTATAGCTAGCAAGTTATGAAGACATACATGTGAACATGTATCTGATAGATGCCTAGACTTAGAATTTAGTATACAATAATCTATCAATACAATTGATTACACATCAGATAGATGGGTAGCAGACACCACTATTCCATATGTCAGGTCAGATCAAATCGCAAAGTATGAGATACAGTACACGCATAACTGCTCCAATGCATTTTTAAGTGGCAATTCAAGAATATAGTAATTATAGACAAGGCCAGAAGGAACTGGGTATTTTGATGTAGATAATATTACTCTTTTTTACATTAAATCACTGTATTTAATGTTGAATCAGTAGTTTCCCAAATTGTATAACTTCCATCAGTTGTCGTTTGCGTTGGAAAACTTGATTCAGTTGTTCCGGCTGTTGTGAAATCTGTTTCAGTTGTTTGCAGTGTTGTAACACCTGAAATACATGAACAACGTTAAAGTGCCTCAGTCATGCACACAAAAAGTCGAAAAACAATACTTTTCACCATATTAATCGTTAGTTGGGTATTCTGTCATGAATTTGTTTTCGCGTATCTATTGACCGACTTAATTAGTTGATTATTAGCGAATTGCTGTGTTATGTCTGTCATCGTTTAGGCCTATTTGAAGTTTTGGACGGAACTTGGCTCAGTGATTTGGAACTAATTACCAGATAACCGCCGCTATTTAGACTACTCATTCTGACAGTTTATATCCATAGTTATTAATGTAGTGAACGATTAATCAAAAGATATGACTTATTCAGTACTTAGTGTGATTGGCTTTATGATTGAAGGTTACGCCCTAGAGTCTTTTTACTGTTTTGTAATTGGTTAGAGTTTTGAAAATGAATAAAGAGAGTTTGAGTTGGTCTTGGCGAGTACTCCACGATAGACGCAGTCCTGGGCAGTCGCGACCAGTCCTGGAGAGCCTTGGGGCGAGTGTTGACGCAGTCTAAAAGAGTCTTGGGTCAGCCTTGCGATAGTCTTGGGGAATTTTCCCCCAGGGCGCTGTGTCTTATAGAGTGCTCGATTGACCGACTAAGACCAGAGCTGAAACGTATTTAGTTGTGTGTGTCTTATTTGACTGTAAAGTATAAGTGACTTCCCCGATCCCGTACCTCAAGGGGACGAAATATAGAGACGAGACGAGATTCCCCCCCCTGACAAGTGTGGAGAACCCCTCAGAGAGAATTACCCCTGATAATTCTATTAAATTACAAATAACTAATGTTAATCTGACATTCTGACATTCGACAGCCGCCGACCAAGTAGACATTATAAATTATATATTAAGTTTAATGTCATTTCTTGTGTTACCCGTAGTATAATAGTAATTTAATTTGTAGCGTCATAATGGTCTGAACAAAACTATCATGCTACTATGCGATAGTGACTACTCATTGAACATTGATATTTTTTGTAATTTGTTTAACAATTTTTGAAGATCAGGATACAGGAATTATACAGGGAGTAAACAATGAGTGACATCATGCGTTGGACTTACCTGGTGGGCCTGGCGAAGAGGTTGTCGCGGATTCTTGTGTTGTTACACCTAGAAACATAATGTGTAATTAATATATTATTTTTCATATACTGGATACGATTTTTCGGCGTAATGCGCCATGGATTGCGAGGATGTGTTTGCAGTACGACCGAGGGACGCAGAAGACGTATCCAAATATTTTAGCATGTACTTTCTAGGGTTTATTAAAAAAAATCTTATTGATTCGAGCCACTCGTGTTTCATTTATCTCAGTTAATTATCCTATTTCTACCATTCTACCTAACATTAACATTGCAGGTTGATGTGTCTGTGTCTGATGTCACAACATCAATATTCGGTTGCGCTGGTAACTTTTTTGAACTAGAACCATTGTTCAAACCCCCTCCAATACGCGTACTCTATCGAAAGTGATTTGATTTCAGTCCCAAATATCTTCCGATGTTTTAAAATATTTGTGCAGCTAAGTCTACAACATAATGGTAGCATGATCTCCTTAACCACTATATACCAGTAACTAACTGAAACTAGTTCGGATTTAAATCCATAAAAAAGAAACATGTTTGTTCAAATATGGTCAAACAGGGCCAGCCGTGATAATGGAAATTACAATTACATCACAAAACAATCTTTAATTTCATTGATGATAATGGATAATCACAGGGAGCCCAGGAACTATGATCAACTGTACGCAATCCCTATGAGCGGGGTGGGGGGGGTATAGGCTGGTATCTAATGTAAGACATAGACAAAGGGTAATCATAAGACAGTAAATTCTGTTCTTACTGCAATCATCACTTGGTTTTCCGACATCACAATAAGCCCATCGCTTATCAAGTTTAGTCGTGTAGCACCACGCACCAACATCCCCATCAGGGTTTCGGCAGTAGTTGTGGTCTCCAAGTCCACTGTTAGGATATTTCTCAGGTGTACGTGTGTGTTCGTGAACTGTTTGATCTGTCCATGAACCGCAGTTATCTCCATCTTGTGTCATGTTTACCAGACCACGGTAATCGCTTTCATCGTCCTCTTCAAAACACTCTGAATTATAGACATTTATAGAAAAGACCAAAACCGAATAATGTAAAAAAACTCGAACATAAATTGCGTGCAATGTGGCTCGAGATATACTTATATTTTAGTGTTACAGTTGATATACTACATACTATCAGGGGGAAAACGCAGCATAGTTTGTTTTATTCAACTTACTCACCAATTAGGGCTGGTATTTTCGTTGGTTCAACTGTTGTAACACAAATGATGTACAGTCAAATACAATAAACCATTAACAGCGAGATCCCGCGTTAAGTGTGAAGAACGTAAGAAACAGAACACAAATGTCATAGCGACGTAGTGACATCACAACATCGCGTTCAATTCAACGCTCAACAAACGCTTATTAATGAACTATATACATTTGATGATGGCAAATGATGATAAACATTGAAACATTGCTAAAATATGCTATGCGATGGTTTTTCGATGAAGTACCTACAATTGTTTTTCGAACTTTGATTTAAATTTATTCGGACCTTGTCACGTTTACAATACTTTCATAAATATTCAAATTGAATTGAAGTGTAACGTTATTAGCTTCGTCATGAATCATTCGATTTCTTATCGATTCCATTCAAATCGTGCATTATTTCATACATACTTACGTAAGGGGTTATTTTTGGGCCGTAATACCAGTACAAGCGTCGTGACAAGTATAATAACAGCTAGTCCAACAACTGCTGAACATATTGCTAATACTACGAAGTTTGAACTTCTTCCCTGTTAGGCGAAAATTATCCATAGATACATTAAAACTATGTTGAAAATCATCATCAGTTATTATTCAGTAATAATTTTTATTATTCACTTATAAAGTTTTAGTAACGTGTATACATATATCGAATGACAGTCATTACATATCAATGAACATATTCTGAACAAACATTCCTCTGACGTTTCTTTTCCTAGGTGTTTTACGAAAATCAATTTTGGCAACATAAAACATTCTTTAGACTAACACATGCCAATAAATGTTGATTGTTATAGGTAACTTTTTAATAAGTGAATCACATACCTAGTATGCACACACACACACACACACACATATATATATATATATATATATATATATATATATATATATATATATATATATATATATT